GATAAACTTTCTTTTTACTTTTCTTGGCCTAAGATTTTGAAACTTTTTTGAGGTAATCAAGAAGAGGTATGTGGTATTTCACAAAAATTGGAAAGTATTCTCCAACCTTTTCTCTTGTCCAATAAACAGCTGAATTTCTGTTAGAGCAGAAAAGAAAAAAATGACAAGCATTAATGACAAGCATTATATAAAGAAAGTATAATTTTACAGTTATGATTTTACGGTTGTTTATTCCGACCGGTACGCCTTCTGGATTTTTTAAATTTATTTTCTCTCCTTCCTCACATTGTTAAAATTCCCTGGGATTCGAACTCCTAATCTTCGGTTTATTAGGTTGCCGGGAAACGCATATTTTGCAAAAATGTTAGCCCGTTCGGCCACCCCTCCTCTTCGATTATTATTACAGACAATTATTTAAATTTTAATATCAAACATGAAGAAAAAAAAATCCGTTTTAAGTCCTCCTCTTCCCAAGAATGATGGCACATGAACCCTCCTAACTGCCAAGAAAATGTATTGCTTCCCTCTTATTAACAACGGTGTAAATAAAAACAAATGATGAAAATAACAGTTTTTAGGTATTACCCATGTTCTCTGGTTTTAAAGTGCTCCCCAATTACAACCTAACACAAGTATGGTTCTCTCCAAAATATGTTTACATTTTTTTCGCTCAGAATTCCTGAGCGGTAATATTATATTATTTATTATAAATAATATTAACATTCACAAAGATCTATTTCACCGATTTTAATTTTGCTAGACCACAGCCCACATTTACAAATATAAAACATCCGTCTTCTCTTGTTTATTACTATTTAACAGCGAACTCTTCACTTTTCAACCAATACTTAAATTCATTTACTGTCAAATATCCTCAGTAATCATTATAGTAATTATGTTTTCTTATCTCACCTTCCTGCACTTTTCCGACAAAGAGCAGGTCTTACGAGACTTCCGAGTTCCTGTCTCCCAATTGCTTCCAGCACACAATGGGGCAGGTAGCCGATCTAAGAGGATAAAATTCATTGAACATAATTTTCAAATAAAAATCACGTATTTCTCACAAATAAAACTTTTATCCTCTTAAATAACTCAATATAAGTTTAATTTATAGGGAAAAATTAATTATTAAGAAAATTAAAATTAAAAATCATAATTCCCCAGAATTAAGAAAAAAAACTAACAATAATGTTAATATAAAGGAAACTAGTATTGATGTATTACAATTTATTTAATCAGTTTCCTCAACCTTATAATCATCATCGTTAGAAAGCTCACTCACTCTCTAAGTTCCTTTATAATCGCTTCCTAACTGTGCAATTTAAATTTCTCTTTCATTTCCTTCGTTTTATACTTTCCTTGTCCAAACAGTCTGCAAATATTTGCCCCCTTCAAAAATCCATAACCCCTTAAAAATGCGTTCCCTCAAAAATTTTGTTGGCACCCCTGCTATATTATATCATGTGTTTTCAGCTCATTAGTAATTTATTTAATTTTGCTACGAATTTCTGTATTTTATTTAATTTTAACTCTAAGTTACATTTCCTTGGTTTGTTATAGTTTTTGCCTTTGTTATATAGATGTATATATATATTTTTTTATTTTTATTTTTTTTTATGGTATTGTATATAAGGTATGAATGTACCTCACTCAGCGTTAGTACTCAGTGCCCTTAAGTGTGGCAAAATGTATTATTTCTCAATAAACAGATTAAAAAAAAAAAGCTCATTAGTTTCTTCAAAGCAATCACAAAAGCTTTATTTATCTTCAAAACTTTATTCGGTCTCACTGTTCCCTCAAAACCTGGAGAAGACATGTGTTTGTTATCGATTGTTTTCAGGTCTAGAAATATGCTTCAGCTACGACACATTTCTCTAAAAAAATAAATAAATAATTTTCTGAATTTTTTTTTTAACGCTCATTTATTTTGTATAAGTGTTATCATTTAATTTAATAAAACGTTTTCATAAGATTAAAAAAAATTGATTCCAAAAATTTTGTTTACGTTTTGATTTTTTCAAAAAACGTTGAAATAATTTTAAAAAACACTGCTTAGCACAAAGATGTACAAATTTTGAGAATTATTTTTTGAAAGAATATAAAAAATGCTACTAAAATAAAAAAAAAAATTAGTTTAATTTAAAACTTACTAATACTTAATAATCTCTTAAGGGCATTCTCTATGCTTGTTTAATCCCATTCGACTTCTTCAAATAAAGCCTCAATTTAGTTATTTTATTCAAAGAAGATACAAGATAGTACTCTAGGAAATTCTCGTAATATAGTCCAGACCTCTCACTATCATGGCCCAATTTCTTCAAGAACAAAATTTGATAATTTTACAGAAGTTCAAATTACGGTTCAAGAGTTCTTTGACAGCCATTCCAAAAAATAGTATCAGCGTGGAATCGAGCAATTGACAAGCAGATGGCTAATGACGGTAGATAATAATGGACTATACTTTGAGTATTAATTGTATTTTATATCAAAGAAGTAATAATGCAGGCCAACAACCTTTTCTAACCAGAGCTTGAAGGTCGAGGAGGCAGGCCGAATATAGAATTTTTGATTGATTGAAGGAGAAAATTTTAATTTTTGTCTGAAATTTTCGGTGTTGTAATTTCTTTCATGTGGGGCGGCGAAAAACATCGTTTACTGTATTCTGGTTAAAATTTGTTTGTTAATTATTAAATGATTTATTTTCACTGGTTTGTTTAGCTTTGTTGGCAATGTTATAATGGTCCTAAAATCAATATGCATGCTTCAATTTAACAGCATTTTGCACATGAAAACCTATCGATAAAAACATCTAAAAATAAGTTTAAGGTGGTTTTAAATGGAATAAGTCTCTACTGTCACCCGAAAAGAATAGTCTCTTGGTTCATGTCTTAGTAAAAAAAAACGTGTACCATCGCAATCCATGGTGAGTTTTGGGTTCAGTACTTTAAAGCCAACGGTTGTGCAAGTAGGTGATCGGGCCAGGTTCAGGCTCAACCGCCAGGTTTTTCCGCTTAATTAATTATTTAACTAAGAGTAACCATTTTATAGACCCTGAATGAACCCCGGTCGATCGGCGCCCGATGAAAAATTACTTGACATCAGTCGGATTTGAACTCAGGTCCTTGAGCTTAGCAGCCCATCACCTAACTCACTGAGCTACTCCGCTCTTTCCAAAATTTGAAGTAATTGAAAAAAGGGTTAGATAAATTGAAGAATAAATTAGGTTAATGTTATATTATTAATGTTATATATATTTATTAATAATAGAAGAAAATAGCTTATAAATTTCCAATGCTATATAACTTTGATTTAAATTTACTCAAAACATGCGTAATATTGTGCCTTTTTTTGAATTCCAAACATTTATTAAAGCGGAAGACTGGTTATTATATCATTATATGACTAGCAAACTAACATTTAGGAAAGCTATCAGTGAAATTTCCGAAATAGTGGGCGATTCATGCAATAAAGCCAACATTCTGCGGATTCTAATAAAGGCTCCATGAAGGGCATAAAGTTTATTTCGAGGATAGTAAATTTATAGTGAAAGGATAGGAGATAGTGAAAGGACCATTTTATTTCAAAAATGCTCTTTGTCCAGTTACTATATATCTCGTTGAAGATGCATTATGTAAGAACGTGCCTAATCAGTCCGATTGAAATAAATAATTTGCGGTTTCTACATTGCTTGCTACAGATCTTAATTAGCAGTTCGTTATTTTTTAACTGTTCACGAGACTATAAAAACTGCTAAAATAAAATAACGAATTTGTAATAACAAGTCATTCAGTTTTCGACAAGATTGAAAAAATTCGCCATATAATTACACAAAATTTGTTATTAAATCCTCATCATGGTGCCAAGAGAAGGTGACCAGATTTTGGATTGACAGTCCCGATTTTTAATAATTTTTCCCGCGCTCCGCTGCGTTTTAAAAAAGTCCCGATTTTTGGATTGAATGCAAGACAAGTTATGGGATGATAGAGTAACGAAAAGAGAATTTACAGTTTTCGGCGGCCATGTGGCTATTTCGTCAGGATATGAGTTTTATATTATTTTTGTTAATTTTGTAATATCAAACTTTAATAATAACGAATAATTGTTACGATTATCGAGAACTAGTTATCAAAGTTCGCATTGTTTAAGAGTTGTTATAATTCGTTTATTATTATTTTTGATGAGGTATCATTATTAATAAAATATATTGATAAGGAAAAGGAAAAATCCTGGGCATCAGCTTGTTAACTTCATTTGCTGCTTCGATTACCTAAATTTCGTCGTCTTTTATAGTAATAAAAAAATAATATTTTAGTCTCCAGCAGAAATGAACTCTGACAAAACAGATTTCAGTAAATATAAAATTATTATTATTATTATTTATGCTATAGTATACTTCGTTTATAGAAATTGTGATAAGATAAAGAATGACATTAGTGGACCCGGCACTTGGGAAATAATTGGGGTTCAAGGTTAGGACCATGTTCATAAAATAGTCCGATTATCAGTTTATTTCCTGTAATATAATATAATTATTACTTACATAGTTTTATGAGTTAATTTTTAAAGAAATGATTGAAATATTGAAGTCAGTGAAGTTCTGACCCTAATCTAAATAAATATTATTACGGGGGGAGGGAAGAGAGGTATGATCGTTATTAGGTCTGATATAAGTACTTATCAGCAGAATAATCAAGAAAAAAAATTACACTTGAAGTTAAACGATGGGAAGTAGCCATCGATACTAAACACAATCGATTGTTGACTCCTTTGTTTACCAGTTACCCTCAACTGCTCCCCTCTCTGTCACAGGTTCAGTTAGGTTTTAGTTGTCGGTGTGTGAATATCGGTGGTGTGGTGTATGTGTTGTCATTTAAATCTCGAAGTGTTTTCGTATTTAATTCATTTTCTGATTAATTTTAACTGCGAATAAAAATATATTTCTACTTCAAATTAATTTAACCTGTTGTCAACCATAATGAAACCCTAGAATAATATTTAAAATGACAGAATCATTTGATGAAGATAATCCTAGTCCAATATTAGAAGAAAGTTTCCATCTAGTATCGAAAAAGAACACAGTTTACAAGGTTAAATTGTCAGAGAAAGGTCTTTGCCTTCAGAAGAGGTACAATGGCATAACTAAAACACAGACTGTTCTTTTAGAGGACATAATAGGATGTAGGTGCATGAGGAAAGGTCTCTATGCACAGAAATGTAAGTGGAGGCCTAGGATTAACAAGAAGCCCCTTAACAACCCCCTGCAGGTTGAGGAAAATAGCTCTGTTTTGTGGGACGATTCCGATATCAGTGTCTGGTTTCATATTTATGCCTACGTAATGAAGAAGGGAAAGGTCTTCACCCAAAAGAAGAGAGAAAGAATGGTAATAACTCTTAGGTTTCAGTCCTATGAGAGGTATGATGAGAACCTGAATAAGGCGCAGAAATGGAAAGTAACTTTAAAATATCTCATGAACTCCTTACATAAAGGCTCTATACCAGCATGCTACTTCTTGTCATCAGACATAAAGATAGGTAATTATTTTTTTAATAATACAATTTACAATTTCTTGTTGAGCTATACATTTTCTGCAAACAAAAAGATTTTTTTTTTGTTTTAGTTTATAAATCCTCGTAAATAGTTCTATAATATTAGTAAGCTATTGAGTGAAAATAAAGGGCTTTCAATTTCATTATTTTTGGGTTTATGAAGTAATTTCTAACTAGACATTAATATAATATTCATTAACGTTAGCAGTGTATTGCTTATCTTAAACTAGTTATGCCAATATACTTCTGAGATCTGAGAAAATATGAATCACTACATGTATTAAAAATAAATAAATATATATAATGGTTTATTACTTCTCTAAAGAAATAATTATTACAATTTAATGCATTGGTCAGGTACTTATCAATATCTTAGTTTTAACAAAAGTTCTTATTTAATGTCATAATATTGACTTATATCACTTCTTGCTTAACAACTTACCTTGAGCTACCTTTGTTCTTGTACCAATCTTCCTTTTAAATTATTTTTGTTTTTCATAGAATACTGAGAATGAGTATTATTTTGGAGTATATTTAAAATCAATATTTATTTTATATTTAATTCCTTAACACTGTGAGCATATAAACATTTCATTAAAACAAGAAACTAAAATATTTTTTGTAAATACTTTTACTTTTTTGTCTATTTATTATTAATGAATGTTTATTTTCAAAAGATTTCTCATAGTAGCTCATGTATTCAATGAAATAAAAAAAAAAACTGGTTGTAAAATAATAATTGGTTCTTAACATAAACATTTTATGACTTGAAATATTTAATCTTCAGAGTATATTGTTGAAATCATGTGTTATTTTCTTTCCGATGGATACTTCTTATTTATTTACTGTATGTTATATAAACATATATTAATTAAAAAATATCATTAATATCAAAATATATATTATAAGCAAAACATAATTTTCTTACATAAATATTAATCAATTATTAAATGATAGAAGAAGACTTAATCTTTAACATATAAATTAAATAAATAATTTCTGAGGAATTCTTCCTTGAGAAATTCTTTTTTTTTTAATGATTGATCAATTCTATTGTATTCTTTTAAAATTAATTAACAAATTAAAAACTACTTACAATTATTATTTTCATTACTTTTTTCCTTGATTAGAGTATGTTATTCAATTTTATACTGATTGATCATTTCTTTTTTTTTCTACTAAATGAAGAAAATATAAACTTACATAAATTGAAAACAGAAATTTGATCGGTGTCGGTGATTGAAGGAAATTTTTTGTATTAATTTTGGAATTAATAAAAGAATGTGCTACTTATAAATTTTCTAATTATAAAAAAAAGAAAAAAAAGAATATTATATTATAAGAATATTAAAAAAAAAAATCATATATTTCAAAATTGTATTAAAACTGTGATAAAGCAAGAAAAAATACATTGTAAGTGGACTCTTAATCATAGAAACTTTTAATTATGGTGTGATAAATTTCAACTAAAAATAAATAATTTTAATGAAAATTTCAATCTTAATCATGATAAATAAGTAAGGGATCCAGGGCTTAATTTTGGAGGAACTTGAGCCTAATTTTTTTTTGTACATATAATGATAATTACTTAAGAAGGAAATGAAAAAAAACTAACTAGCTATATTTAATGATTATTGAAGCCCCTATTAAAAATTGTAATAAAGCCCCAAAAAATAATACTTTTAAGGATAATTGTTTTCATAAGACATGGTTATATTTAGTAGCTATATATGTATCATAATTAAAAAACATTAAACATATTGTGATTGTTTTATGTATTTAGATTAGAACAGTCACATTAGTAAATATGGGTCAGTGAAAAAAATAAGAATTTTTTTCTCAGAGGGGAAGGAGGAGGGACTTCAGTCAGAAAGCATCCCCTTCCCCAGATGGATCAGCATGTGATCATGACTGAAGAGGAATGATTTACTTTAGAAAGCAATTTTTGTGATTAGTCATTAGGAGAAATCTGATTTTCATTATTTCCTGTTGTCATTTTTTCCTCCTCGGTACTGACTTTCACTCTAACAGCTGAAAAATTTAACCTAGTTTTACTGAATACAAGTTGAGAAAAAATTAAACAAACATTCCTAAATTTAACAGCTATCATTTTCTCTTATCTGCTGTGTTTACTTTGGATTTGGTGGGTTTTCATTCAGATGTAAATATGTAATAAACTATGGATAGATCATTTTTAGTTACTCCTCCTCGTCTCATTTGTAACATACAGATGAAAAATGGAACTAAAATTATTTATATTAGTCACTCAATATTTTAATAAGTAGCTTATGAGAAACCTTTTCCACACATTGAATAATAAGTAAAATTGTATCTTCAATCAGCCTTTCCCGAAGTCTTAACGTAATCAGCCATATTTTTTAAAATTTTAAATAGTTTACCTAATATTTTATTTTCGATCAATAAAACAGAGACAGTCGCCGGTCTGTTCAACGATTGGATTAATTATTGTGTATCAATTTGGATGGTATATATTGAGTGTTTAAGGTTTTTTTTTATTTCATGTTCTATCCAGTTATGTTTTCCTATCATTAAAATCGATTTCTTTATTTCGTAATTACTATTTTTTCAAAACACTTGCTCACTCCAATTACAATTACTTATGTTATGTTATATTACTTATGTCTTAACTATATATATCTATTTAAAAAAAAATAATTCTACACTTTGAAACCATTATTTTTCAATTTATTTCTTTCAATTAGGGACGCCGTTGTAAGGTGTGTAAGGGAAGAGGTTATCCTATCCCGGAACTATTTGGAATTCAAGTAACTTCGGGAATAGAAAATTGTAAAACATTTTACGCACAAATTTACTAAAGTTTGAAACCAATATCAATGCCTTTTAAATCCAAGGAAATAGGGATTTTATCGATAAAATGTGTTGTGAAAAGAATTGTAGAGTTTTAATATTCGCAAAAAGTAAGTAAAAAGCTAACATTTTCTGTAACTAACCACATAAGAACACATGGTGTAATCTATCTGCGTGGAGCACTAGCGGATCCAGGATTTAATTTTGGGGGGGGGCTTCAGCCCGAAACCTTTTTTTTCAAAAAAATAACGATAATTACTTTGGAAAAACAGACAGAAACTAACTACCTATATGAAATGGTGTTTAAGTTATTCCTTAAGTACTTTTAAATGTAATTACACGAAAAATAATACTTTAAGAGGTATTTTTTAAATTTTTTTCCCATAAAACATGGTTATATTTTTCCATTTTGGGGGGAGGGGCTTCAGCCCGAAAGCCCCCCCCCCCCCGTAGATCCGCCCGTGGCGTGGAGGTGAGAGGGTAAAGAATTAAAGTGGGCACTGCTTAATCGAGTTATGTGTGGGCAATGACGTGCTAATAGAGAATTCATATAGTACACACAAATCTGTGCATAAAATTACTTTCTCGACCGCTGAAAGACATGACGGCAGCATTATTGATTATTTCATATGTAACCTCTACATTAGGAAGTTTTTCACAGATATGAAGATTATTAAGGGGGCTGTGATAGGAAGTGATCATATGCTACTGATTGCCAACACCCAGGCGCTTAAAGAGCGCAAGACAAACAGGCAGTGGTTTGAAGATGAAATGAGAGGAGGACTGCTGAAATTGAACGCAGATCAAGGAATGGCATCTTGAAATCTGTGAAGTGAAGAAGATATCTGCAAATCTCAAGCGTACTACATGGTGGAGTAATGTATTAAAAGGACTGGTTAGGTAGAAGAAAGTAGCATGAAAGGATTACTGCAACAGAAAATAAGGGTTGGGAAGAGCCCAGGAACCAATTGAACCAGGATCATAGTGAAAATATAAAATTATTCTAAAAAAAATAAAGCATTCATTAAGAGGCCGGAAAAACAAAGAAATAAGAAATATTATGTATAGGAGAAATGGTCGCTGAAGATAAATGCATGCTGGAAATATTGCGGAGATATAACGAAACGCAATTTAGAAATGAATATGTTTGTCCTGTGAACAGACATGACGGACGTCGCAACGAAGATGAGATAGGCGAAGTGATTGAGGAGGACGAAATTGAAACAAAGTCGCCTTGACCTTTCTGATTCCCAAAGATTATTAACTATTTGTATCACAGGCTAATCTACGAGGGAAGACAGGGCTTTCGGGTTGGAGCTCCCCCCCCCTCACTAAATGGTAAAATATAGCTATGTCTTACGAAAGATACACTAAACAATTATCTCTAAAAGTATTATTGTCCGTGAAATATTAATTACATTTAATAGCACTTCAAGAATCAGTTAAACACCATTTCATATAGGTAGTTAGTTTATTTCTTCTTCCACCAATGTAATAATAGTTTATATATAAAAGCTTTCGGGCTTAAGCCCCCCTAAAATTCAAATCCTGTCTTCTCTAGTGATTCGTAGGGAAAAAGAAAAGGTTTGTGATGGCTCTTTTTTTATTTGATTTGCATACCCAAGTTGTTTTGCCTTAAATATAGAACAAAACCACAGAGAAGACCTCCTAGAGGACCATGACCTCATCATTATCTATTCTGTGGGACTCTTTCCTAGTTATGCTCGATGCCTTTGTCTCAAGGCTAAAGAGGGGGAGTTTTGCAAACTTTTTCTTTTTTTTTTATAAACAATACACTTCTTACTTATAATTCTTACTTTTTAAGTACCTCTATCATCCACGAAGCTCTAAGCAATGTATAATTATAAATTTAAAAATTGGTGTGCGCATCACACAACTTCCACATACCGCCCTACTTCGAATAGGAATTGTTTTTTGGCAATATTGGGCTATTAAAAAGTTTTTTTAACGGAGTTAAACCTTAACCTTACAGCTAACCTTTTACAGCTCATTAAGGCCATTAAAACAACACAAGGGAAAGTCGTGTGATGCACGCACCAGATGTTTTTTCCATTGTACAGCTTATTAAAATGGAGTTACGATATTTTCATTTTCTACTATCGATAGGTCAAAAGCTGTAACACTAATTGTTGAGT